TTTCAGTTAAAGTTAAGTTAATTTGAACTTAAACTATTACAATCTCTATGAATACGATACTAGGAATCAAAATCCATTTTATAACGAACCATGCACTTGCAGCATTTCAAGCGAACAATATTTTCGAAACAATTGATATGAAATTTGACTAATTTATAAATAATTTATAAATTTGCCAAACAAAAGTTTATTTGATCATCACAAAAATCTCATTTTGTAAATAAAAGTCATGCGAGTGATATAATATCCAGGAGAAGGAGTTTAGCATCCTTTTTTTTTTTTTTTTTTTTTAATATTGAAGCAGTCATAGACAGAAAATGAAGACTAAAATATACATAGGAGTTGCAATAAAAGACTATACGATAGCTACAAATTCATTTATGCTGATGGAATAAAAATTTATTTTCTCTGATTGTATAAGCTACTATCAATTGAATTAGAAATAAAATAAATATGGAGATTTGATGATGCTTAATTATAGAAAAAATTAAATGTTTCATGATGATTGACAACAATAAATTTCTTTAGAAAGCTTAATTATGTAATTGTTAAAAATTAGCAAGCAAAATATGACCATGTCGATTAATGATTATTCTATACGTACAAACAGTCACCAATCAGCAATAACATTTATTTTTTTTTATAGTTTTAACAAATAAATAAAGCATACCTTAAAATAAAAAAAATAAAAAAAAAATATCAAGATTTGATCTCAAATATAAAAAATAATGTTATAAAATTGTTTGAAAAATAAATAAATTAGTAAGTTTTTTGTTTAGTTGTACATACGTAACGCTAATTATCCTCATAATACGTCTTTAAAAATGCGTAAACTACATTTTTTTATATTTATATTCACCTATTTTCCCTTTTTAAAAGAAAAAATTATTCTTGAAAACACAATTAATTTAATAATAGGGAATAAAATACAAACTTAGGAGCTCTCTAGCTAAAGAAAACAAATGAAAAATTGCAAACGTTCAAAAAGAGCTCAATGTAAAGTAAAAAGAATTATTACTTGTGTGGTCTCATCTTGAACTTGGTAGTCATACAACATGTGAGATGTGTGGAGTTCTATGTTCACCATAAGTAAAGCACTGATTTTATATCATCTTGCATTTTCTTAATAGGTATGTGAATCAGGTTTAGTTTCTAAGAATTTGTGTCAGCTTTTCCCTAGATGATGGCGAAAAAGGCACATAGATTGAGAAATATGATATTTTGAAAATTTAGGTTTAGTTTCTAAGAATTTGTGTCAGCTTTTCCCTAGATGATGGCGAAAAAGGCACATAGATTGAGAAATATGATATTTTGAAAATTTAGGTTTAGTTTCTAAGAATTTGTGTCAGCTTTTCCCTAGATGATGGCGAAAAAGGCACATAGATTGAGAAATATGATATTTTGAAAATTTAAATTTTCAAAATTAAAATATTTTAATTCTTCAATTTTGGTTTTCGATTTTAGATTTAAAAAAAAAAATACTTGTTTTAGAATGTAAGTTATGTTTTGGTGGATTGAAATTCCATTTGTTGTGGGGTTGGATTTTTTACTATAAAGGGTGATTTTTTATTTTGTAATTTTTTTTAAAATTTTTGTATACATAACTTAATGGATTATTATATATCCATTTATATTATATTCATATAGCTTTGACAATTTGATAAGTCTTGTTTTTTATCTTCTTATGATCGTACCTATAGAATAATTGACGTAGTGAAAGAAAGGAATTCAATCGAAAACCTTAAGAACAAGAAATTTGGAATCCACCAAATAATAAAGAAAATAAACTCACGAATTAATGAAAGATAATAAAAAAAATGAACTAAGCCCTTATTTATAAGGGTTTACATTGAAACGTAGTTTAGAACAACTAAAAGTAATGAAAAAGAAGTTTAATCAAACTAGAATTGTAAAAAAAGGAAAATAAACGAATTGACAAAAATAGCGCTAAAAATTTAAAAATCAGTTTTCGAGGCTTAAACGAACTCGAATGGCCGAAATTCAACGTACCTCACAGCAATGCTGTGAGTATTGTTCCCTCATCATTCTCCATCCAAAATGGTCTTATGGGACCAATCCAGAATCAAGATGATTTATTTTTACTAGTACTCTTTTTCCAAAGTACACGTTATGTCTTACATCAATTATTCCTTAGAAACTCTTACTAGAATCAAGATAAGAGTTCATGACCATCAATAATGCTATCGACAATGAACTGACCTAATTTAAGACTTAGTCCATTATAACACCCTCAAATGAAAATTATTATCGTTAAATGAAGTTCAAGTTCAGAAGATACATACACCTATTGCATGGTATAAAGTTGCCATTATATATATACTTATCTATTTTGAAAGTATAAAACTTGTGGAGGATTGTTGCAACATAAAATAATAAAATAAAGTTTTAGAATTTCAACTTTAAAATTTTTCAGTTTCTCTTTTCTTAATTTTTCAAGTTTGGCTTTTAATTTCTGATTTAATAAAAAAATGAAAAACCTTAATTTTAGAATGGAATATCAACATAATAAGGCTCGTTCTTTATCTCTCCGTTTTATGTTTATAGAAAGAGAACTGACTACGAGGTAAAGGCTTTTATCTTGGAAATCTATAGAGCTAAAACTTTAGAGAGCAGCTTTTGCATGATTTCCAAAGTCTTGCTTTCTAATGTTTTTATTATGTTTATGTTATTTATATTTGTTGCTTTAAATGAAAATCTAAACACAAATCACTTGTTATTTTCTCCAACATATAAATGGTCCACAAAAACTTTCTATAAATAAACTTTTTAAGAAAATAGTTTTATCTTTAAAAATTTGATTTTAAGTAATTAAAGACCCTATCTTCTTTTTATTTGATGTGCATTTTAGCACCTTATAATTGAGTCTCAGGCAAAAGTAAATTATTGGATTTCTATAAATGTGAATTTAGTTAATTATTATGTACTATATATGATATGAATACAATTTTTGAAACTTTTTTGATAATTGATTTGAATTTGTTAGGGCAGGTATTGGGTTAATTTCTAATTAATTAGCGTTACTATAATACTTAATAACAATAAATTTCGTGAAAGATGTCAACGTAAAAAACTATAAACAAAATAGATATATAAAATTTGTTTATACTAGTTTCTTGGCCTCTAAAAATAGTATAACGTATGAGATCACTATGCTTTGATACCAAAGGAGATCACTTTGCAACCCAGTTTGACCATACATGGGGGAGATGGAGCTGTAAGAAGGGACTTGGACACATGGTGGGATAAGCCAAACTAAGAACACTGACTTTCTTGATTTGTGCCTATTTACTAATCCAATTGGCAAATGGTTGCACGGATAAAATTGATTCTAAATTATATTAAAGTAATACGATCTTGCTTTGCACAAAGTCTAAAATCTATTTGTTAGGTCTCAACTTGTGAATTTATAACTTTATATAAAACTTTTGGCTTTTTGGTTAATTAATGGTACACTTATAATGTGTTTAACAGGTTAAATAATATAGATTTGTAAATCAGGATCATTTGGCTAGAAATGACCTCATTTTCCTAAAGTCAAAATCATTTAAAATATTTAGGTTAGTAAGACTCCATGAGTTTGCTTCCACATGCCTCTACATCTTAGTGGGGTACGAATAGGGGCGGAGCTAGGAATTAATGCTATGGGGGCAAAACATTTTAAAAATTTAATATATGAATGAAATTTATATATAATAAGAAAAATTCATAGTATAAGTTACCTATTGTAGTTGTACACGATGATGTTTTACAGTATAAAATTCATCTATAATAGAATCTAAATCTAAATTCATACTAAACTCTCGTTCAGTGTTTAGTGTTGAACAATCAGCAAAAAAATCATCATCCATTTTGTTACGAATTTTCGTCTTAATATGTTTCAATGTTGAAAATGCTCGCTCCACAGTCACCGTTGAAACAAGTACTGTCAGTACTAAACAAATCAATTTAGTAAAAGATAAAATAAAAAAATGTAACTCTCCAACCTTGTGCTTGCAACCAATTTCCGACATAAATCAGAAAATGTAGGTACTTGAAATCGAGGTTCAAAAATCGTATCATTCTGATAATATTGCAACTCAACTTCAAACAATAAATATCTTGCTGTGTAAAATCATCAGGATAAAACTTCTCTGCAAGCTTGCAAATATTATCCATGTTAAATGATTCAAAGGAATTTTTGAATTCAAAGCCAAACTGAGAAAAATGAGTTCTAATGATGTTTCATTAAATCTTGTATCTAATTCCATCATCTGAAAATCTATGGCTGTATTGAAAATATCAAAGTGATAATGATGTTCAATGGTATGATACTCATGACCACGAGAACGACCAATCATATACGAACCATCAAAGTCAAGTACATGTATATCATATTCTGAGCAAAAACATTTCACCTCTTTAAGAAATTCTTCACAGCCATCTTCTCTCAATACTTGAAGAATAGTTTTTATAGCATGGATAAACACTACAACAAAAATAGTCTTTTACAATGTTCAAATAACGTTGCTAAAAACTTTTTGCAACATTCAGTCGCATGTTGCAAATCTTGTTATAGAGTAGAAAGATACAACAACGTTTTATGAGCGTTGCAATAAACCCTTTTGCAACGTTTTTCGAACGTTGCAATAAACCTTTTAGTGACGTTTTTCAAATATTGCTAAAAACTGAAAAACATTGCAAAAAAAATTTTGCAAAATTTTTTGAACTAGCAAAAAATCCTTTTGCAACATTTTTCAAATATTGTAATAAACCCTTTCGCAACATTTTTTGAATGTTGCTAAAAACCTTTTCGCAATATTTTTCGAACTTTGCAAAAAACCTTTTCACAACATTTTTTTTATCGTTGTCATAGAATTTTTTTTAAAATTTTTTTTTCCAACATTTTATGTAGATGGACTCGTAAAATTGAAATTGACTCCTTTTGAACAAATTTTAAAATTGTGTAGAAATTGATAATTTCACTACAAATTTTTAAATTCATACAATTGAACATTAAAATGTGATACGACACCACTTAAATAAAAAGGAGTTTCAAAATGAAATAAAATTAGAAATAAAATTTTGATACAGCTTAGGCATGAAGAGCTTATTGCTACACTTGCAATACCAAGCTTGTGGGTAATATTCTAGTGGCATGCTCAATCCTATCGGTCTTCATGCATTCTTCGATTTGCTCACCACACAATTCACAATGGCCAACGAAGCTGCAAGAGAAGCATTGAATCAATAAGAAAAATGTCTTTGTTTTAATTTCAATCAAATCATATGTTATTTACGTTTTTTGAAAATAGACACATTGAAAACCAACTACCTGAAAAATTGACACCATATATGTTGGAGTTCATCAAAAGATTCCTTAGAAGATTTAATACACTAACTGAACTAAAAATAAATTTCCAAGTCGTGTCTTAATAATTGTGCTATTTTGAAATGATTGTATCTGATTTTTCCCAAAGAAGAATAGGAAGAAATAAATGAACTTGCAGTTCTTTCAAGGCCTTTAGTAACAAGTGGATCACATTGGATAACAGCATATTGTCCGCTAAAGTTCCTACACAAAGAGAAGCTAGTAAGCACTGTTGAAGACCTAATTAAAAAATAATAATAATAATAAAAATAAAAAATAAAACTTACTTTGTTTCTTTCCGTACAGTTATACAAGTGTGTATAAATGCAGCTCGAATATCAAGTGAACTGTCTGCTAACTAATTGACTGGAGGCTGTTAATAGGTTGTTTGAAGCAACAATTCAATGAGTCGGCTGCCAACCTGAGAGTTAAAATAACTGCACATTTAGTTTGTAAGAAAACTGTAAACTTAATGCAATGAGTACAAGAGTTAGGCATGACCTTTGCTTTAGCATCAGTGCCTCCTGGTTTTGAATCATCCTGTCCTTTAACTAGTTGCATCACTGCTCGCAGCTTTCTTTTTTCTTTTTTTTTCTTTTTTTTTAAATCAAATTATTAACCTTTTGTAAGCATCATATCCACCTCCTTCCTTTTTTGTCTCTTAACTTTTTGCCTCTGTTTTCTTCAAGAGTTTGTGTATTCTAACCTGATTGATGACAGAAATTATTAGGAAAATAATAAAAAAAAGCCACCATTACAATCAACCAACCATAAAAGATTCTGAAATGGATAAAAGCATATTACCCCCATGTCCCCAGAAAAGGCACCATACCTTTTTCTAATTTTACAAATAGGCAAATTACACCATTGTTCCTTAAATCAAGCTTTTTTGCATCCATTTAATAATACTTTTGGCATCGGGTATGTTGCAAACACTTTTAATCGATATCATGATCTCCTAAATAGAAAGCTGAATCTTATCTGGTTTAACACTACTAACTTCCTACCTACTACCTTACTTTGAACCTTTAATGAATACTAAATGTCCAGCAAGCCAGAGAAAATTTTCAAGTCTTCATGATTCAAGAATTACTGGAAACAATCTCAAATATTCCTAGTCTCGCCTAATCTACTTCTAGTGCTGAGATTATTAAATTCCAAATAACATGCTCTCTTCACAAGAGCAAAAAAAAATGACTTGCAAGAAAAAGGTTTGAGTAATTCAATATCCACAACCTTTTGGTACGTCAAGAAGGTTTAAAACAAACATTCTCAATGGTAATTTTAAAAATTTAACTTTTCTCGAGTTGCAATGCAATTGAAAATTCCAATTTGTTTTTCCATTTTCAGAGGGTAAAACAACAAAATTTATGGGACATTTCTAAGAAAAGAAAAAATTGTATAGTCTTCAAAATAACGAGTCAAGGGAGCAAAAACTAATCCAATCTTACTACTAAAACAACCATCTCCAGGACCTAACAACCCTACACCCCTAGAGCACAAGAAAAATTTATTAGAAAATCTCCAAAGGCATTTTCCTAAATAGTCACATTAGATCTCAAGTTCAATAACCAGAATCAAAAGGTTCTCTTGGCTTCCAGCAACCATTATGAGAGGCTTTAAAACAACAACTAGAATATAGGGAATATCAGTCGGCCGTAATTAGGATACTGCTTTAATGCAACATCAAAAACATAGTTAGGATACTGCCATATAAATCACAAATCACGCCCATCTACTTACTAAAGCAACAACCAAAATATAGGGCTAATCAAAACAACAAAAAATAAAAAAGGAAAAACGAGTGTCGGGTTTGGGGAATCGATTCAGGGCTGAGGGCTTTACCTTTTCTTCAGTTCTTCTGCTGCTAGGAGGAGGCAGAGACAGAGGAGCCGAAAATGGAAGAAGTAGGCAGCGGCGGAGGCGGAGGCGGAGGCGGAGGCGGAGGAAGCAGTGGATGGAAAGGGGATTGAATTTGAATGGATGGAATGGGTTGAAGTCGTTCATATGCATGTTAATTATGGTATTGGGCTAAGTAATGGGCTTCACTTCTTGACTAAGCCTGGGCATTTGTATTGTTAAGAAAAAAAAATTGGACCTTTCGCAACGTTTGATAAACGTTGATAAAGGTTTTTCTTTTGCAATATTTGATAAACATGGCAAAAAGGTTTATCGTTCGCAACATTTGATAAATGTTGCTAAAGGTTTGTCTTTTACAACGTCTGATAAACGTTGCAAAAGAGAAACATCTGATAAACATCAATATTTGATAAACGTTGCCAAAAAAATAAAAAAAATTGCAATACTAAGTAAACGTTGCAAAAAGGTGACATTAGCAACATTTATTTTAAAATTGTTGTCAAATCTCAATTATTAACACTAATGACAACGTTCACTTATTAGAATGTTGCAATAGATTCTTTTAACAACATTTAATTAATAAATGTTGCTTTTTGCAAATTACAAAAAGGCATTTTTGTTTTAGTAAAATCTCATAGCAGTTAAGATGTCTTGAGTTTTCTTTTGAAGGGCCTGACAAAGCACATCCACAATTGCAAATATTCTATGCATTAAATGTAAAATAAATACAAATTCAAATATTGTCATGGTTTTATATACACCACCAACTTCCTACCAAGATCTTATATTTGGAGAATGATCACTATGATACGCAAGCACCTTGCAAGTTGCAGTGTACATATCAATCAAACTCTTTACAAAGCTGTAATGGGAAGAGCAAAGAGTACCTCCGGCTCATTGCAAATTACCAATCTGATTAGCACCACTTCGTGACTCTTGTTCTCCAATTTCCAATAAATGCTCAAATTCTTTTCTTTGAGCACTTTTCAACTCATTGATGCACTTAGGAGATGATGTAAATAAATTAATAACACTATCCAAACGAAAAAAAAAATGAATTTATATTTAAGACATCCCTAGCTGTAGAAACCAATGTAAGTTGTAAATGGTGGGCAAAACAATAGACATAGTATGCTTATGAACAATCTCTAAGAAATAATGCCGATAGTCCATTCCAAAAACCACACTTATTATTAGCACCATCATACCGTTGGCTTCTCACGTTTTGCACTTGAAGGTTGAAACGCACAAGAGTATCAGAAATCTGATTCTTAAGATTTAATGAGGTAGTGTCAATAACACTTTTAATATCAAAACAAAAAATCTGTTAAAATTCTTAGGATAATGGCCATTTGTTCTCGTGAAGATTTATCTCGTGCTTCACTAACACTTTTAATAGCAAAAAAATAAAAAATAAAAAAAAATATTCTGTCAAAAGTCCATTACCACTCACAAACCTCAAGATAATGGCCATTTGTTCTCGTGAAGATTTATCTCATGCTTCATCAAATACTAAACTTTGCATCCCCAATTTTCGTCACGAATTCTTTGTCATACTCTATTGGCCATAATGTTCAAAATTTCTTTTTGAACGTCTGGAGACGTGTATGTATCATTTTTGGGAGCATTATCCAACATAAATTTTCCTACTTCAATATTCACTGTTCTAAATGGCCGACAATTTAGTAAGGATAGAGATTCGTCATGGCCTCTAAAGGAACAACCTTGAAATGCTAACCACTTAACACTCAAAAGATTTTTCTGTTTTTCTTTATACACAAACGAATTTTTTTTTTTTTTTTTTTTTTTTTTTTTTTTTTTTATCTTCATCTCTTCTCTTACAGCCATTATGAAACGATAAGGATGTTGTACCAATATGAATAAGAAAAGTACATTTACCTCCTTGGTTAATCTTCTTCCAACTATCAAATCCAATAGTAACCAACGATAAAATATTAGGTGAAGTACTATCATTGAGAAAAAGGAAGCAATAAAAACAATATTCCTTATGGGTTGAAGGCGAATATTTCAACCAAGGAAACTAATTGTACCAACCTTCCTGAAATCGACGTTTTTGCTTTCCACATTCTTTATTCTGATACTTCAAAAGTTTTGGTTGATAAGGTACAACATTTAGATAGGCCCACCTAATATGAGCGTGTTCATTAAATGGATGTTCACATATTTGCTTTCTTTTTCCAGGGCCCCATTCAATAGAATCAGATGATTCCAAATTAAGATTAGAAGATAAAGGTCGTTCAACTTCAACGGATGAAATTGGAGGATGGATGTCTAGGAATTAGAGAATCCTGAGATTTGCTACTTTTTGAAAAGAAAGACAACAAGGTTCTTCCTTTCTTGGAATAAGGTCGATCTTCTTCCGTATTAAATCTAAAAGTATAAAAATCAAAGTGCTTCAATATCCCATAAAGGCATAAAACATAAATTGATGAAACTATAACCATAAAACATCAACGCAAATTACACAATTGCAAAGTAGATAGCTTAACGATTTTGTTACTGGTACATTATCTTTGTTTAATTAATAATTACCAATAGATAACTTTCCAAATTTCCAATTCCAACTTCCAAGGATCTAGTAAGCTAACATTTTTCAGGGCCTATTGTTTGCTTAATTTCTTTGCACAATATTATTATTTCCCAAATAACAAAATAATACATGTGAATGCTCAATTACGCATAGGCTATAGGCTAAGGTAGTAACTAGTAAGTTGAAAACTTAAAATCTTTAAACCAATTTATCGTTTGCCATGAAATGAGATTTTTCATCCAAAGTCAAAGAATCAACCTTGAACCTCCTTCAACTAGTTCAACAGCCTTTGGAATTTGGGCCCTCTTCTTAGCTAATAGCACAGTACTTCAAAGAATCAAAATGTTTCACCTACAACTAAACAAAAAAAAAAAATCCCAAAAAACTAAGCACCTATTTTGTGATTAAAAAAAAAATATAAACCCCAAAATTGAAAGAATTTCTTATAACCTTGTCGGACAGTTGGAGGAAAATTATTAAATTACTTACCCTAAGTCTCTAACTCAAGTCGGTAGATGATGAGACGATGGTTGGTGATAATGACGGTTGGTAGTTAGTGTCGGTGGTTCGACGGTCCTTGTCGACGGCTACAGGTAGGTCATGTGTGAAAAGATTTAGGGTTGAAAGTTTTGATTTTTTGGAATTATTTCAATTTGTTTTGTGAAGGAAAACATGATTATACATGAAGAAAAATATGAAGAAATGGGACAATGCATATTGAATTTATTGATACAAATAAGTGGGCCTAAAATTATATAAATTAGTGGGTCAAAGATTAAAAAAAAAAATCATTTGAAGTGGGCTAGCCCATTGAAATTAATTGTTGGAGGGCTAATAGATTGCAATTAAAACAATAAATAAATAAATAAATTGTGTATTGGGCCTGGGCAACAATGGGCTGCAACCAAGTGCAATCCGCCCCTAAATCCGCCCATGGGTACGACCTTGGCTATAGTGGTATCTTGTCCCTAAAAAATGTAGTCATGGATCGAGCCAGATAGGAGGTTGTACTTCTATTATATAGTACTAAATAGAATTTAGAATAAATATCAAACATTTAGATGCATTATGCTGGAGGTGATTAAATTTGAGAACATTGAAAACTTGAGGGCTACTACTCATATAGGGGCTTTTCGCAAGGGCTTTGAAATTCAAATCAAGGGTTAAGGTGCAACCACCTCAACCCCCATCAAAGAGCCTCGAGCTTAATACTTAAAAATTAACATTCTTATTTTCTTTAATTATATCCAATTTTATTTAATTTCATGTACGAAATTTTCGAGAAAATCATTAAGTAGGACAATCCTATTTGTACAGTGGTAGGACCATCCATTCAAATAACTCAATACATTTTCTGTCATATCAAATTATTTTTATAATTCATATTTAGTTTATCTAAATTTTTATGACACATACTGTTTGTTGAGAATTTACTTAATCATGCACAACAAAATTTAAAAGAATTTCGATTTTCATCAAGGATCTACTTTGTATTTAGATAGAAATTGTGATAAGTATTATACATTTAGTTAATTTTGTAAAGAACAATCACGATCTGTAATCTACAGCTGTCCAATTATCTAGTTTCCGACACTTAAACTTAACATAGTCCAATATTTAATTAATTTAATTAATTAAACTTGGTTAATTAATTAATCTAATTAATTAATTTTTTCATTAATAAATAGCTCAATTAATTAATTTAATTAATTAGTAAATACCATTCTTCTAAAATTTTCTTTTTGTGTGTGACATGTTAGGTTCCGATCACGATGCCTAAGGACGTAAATTATTATTTTGATATAATCAAAATAAGATAAATTAAAGAATAATTTAATTTATCATTAATTCACCTAGATTAATCAATTTGCATTTGTCATCTCAAATTAACATCTAGCAATGTGTCAAGATAATATATGCGATGGAAAATTTCACATGTTATGATAAAACCAAACTTGTTTGTTTATCGTGAGACTATAATCCTTTCGTTAATATGATCCGATGTCAATCTCGATAATCAATTTTATCTTTCATTCTACTCTTAAGTGAATATAAGTCGGAAGCTCCTTTTCGACTTACAAGCACATTTAGCCAATGATTTCGTTATTAAGTAAACTGAATGAAATGCAAATCATAAACTTTTACTATCTAAGAGTAATAAATCCTCTATTAATCATTCACAATTTTCATATGATTCTTGACATATTTGAATGATGCCGTATTAGCGACTTTTGATTAGAACAACATTTAATATCACCAAAGTAAGACTATCTTCATATAAGATACTATGATGACCTCAAGTTAAAGGACTAATTCTAGTACCAAATGTTAGAAACTAATCACTAACACTTAGATAGTTATCTATATAAAATCTCCCCAATAGCTCTCCAATCTTTCGTTCTTCCAATGAAACATTTACGTGTCCATTTAAATATCACTACATTTTAGCTTGTGAAATCAACAATTTACTTCACAAGTGAGAAATGCAACACAAGCTGGTTTATCCATAATAATGATATTTGTATATCATTATTACTTATGACACGAATAATTTAAGATTCAATCATATGTAATTTGTCTCTTA